TGTTTGGCGGGTCCGGGCTGGGGATTCGAACCCGCCACCTTAGGTGTACGTGGCTGGCGCCTTAGCCGGTTGAGCTATAGGCGCCGAGCCAGAGGGTGCTTTTTTAAAAAATAAACTATTAAAGTGTAGTTATTTAATTTTCTCACCAGAAATCATTCCAGGATTATTCCGTTTGTTACTCGGAGTGAGCATTATTTACATTTACATTTCTTTACTGTATGCACAGATGATATGCGGACTTTAACATTTTGTCTGTCTCTATTTTTGAAGGTTCGGTCTTTGTGGGCTTCAGTGAATGAAACACTTACGTTTTTGGAAAAAGAGAGAGAAGTTGTTAGTTCAGTCCTTAGCCTTGTTAACCAATATGTTTTAGATGGAACTAACGTTGTTATTAATATTCCAAGCCTCTTACTTGATGAAATTGAGAAACAAATGTGTCAGGTAAGAATTTGACATTAAGGAAGCTTTTGAAAAACTTTTATGTAATTATATGTTGCTTTTCTTGCAATTGCTTTTACTACTTTCAGAATTTATTTTTGTGAGTATATCTACTAAAGCCTTCATGAAGGGTACTGTTAAAGGTTTGTGTATTTACATATATCAGTTATTAGTCGTCCATACTATAGTGTAGAGAGTATGAAGTTTTTTTTCCCCTTTGTAGAGACAGTCTCACTTTATTGTCCTTGGTAGAGTGCTGGGGTATCACACAGCTCACAGCAACCTCCAACTTCTGGGCTTAGGTGATTCTCTTGCCTTAGCCTCCCAAGCAGGTGGGACCACAGCCACCTGCCACAGCGCCTGGCTATTTCCCTGTGGCAGTTTGGCTGGGGCCAGGTTTGAACCCACCACCCTCAGTATATGGGGCTCGTGCCCTACCCACTGAGCCACAGGCACCGCTCAAGAGTATGAAGTTTTTTACTAGGAAGGTGATCCTGTACTAATTCTTTATAAATTCTCAAAGAGAACAATAGCAATCTCCTGATCTCCCAACATTTTTAAAAACGTCTTTTATCTTTTTTTTGAGACAGGAGCCTCAAGCTGTCCCCCGGGGTAGAGTGCTGTGGCATCACAGCTCACAGCAACCTCCAACTCCTGGGCTCAAGCGAGT